AGGACCGGAGTGGCAGTCAAAGGAGCGGAGAGAAAGGAGCCAGCTACGTCGTGGACATCAACGAGAGCTGGCTTACCTTCCCCGGCGCCGCCCGGACCACCACTGACCCACCGCCGACCCCGACCCCAGGCGTGACCTACTCCCCGGCCTGTGATTGGCCGGGTCACGTGACCACGTAGCTTCGGGAACAGACGCGAAAATTAAAGGTCTTCTTACAAGAGAAAGGCAGCCGCTGTTGAGATTTGAACCCAACACGAAATTCAAACACGCTCACAACGCAGGCGCTCTAAGCCACTGCGCCACCAGGCGATGGCTACCCCGGTAGGTTAGAAGGCAACTTATCACGTACACAACAATACGCTTCAGACTCCATCGACGAAACAGACGCGGCAACCACGTGGCCAGGGGAGGGAAATGGCGTCTTCAACTGCTTGAACACTTGAGCTTTTAGCTCTATGGGTGGGAACTAGAAAGAAATAACGAAAATTGATGTCTCCCCTTCCACCTTCCGACAAGGTGAATTCGGAATCCCACTTAGGGGATTCCGGTGGCCACGGCGTATCACGTGCATTTAGTGCTCTATATGGCATTTCTATATTTTTATTCGCTTCACCTGATCATTTGTGTGTACACGTTTGACAACATTGGATCTCACTTAAGTTGTGGGGGACAGTTCCCCCTCGCGCTTTACAGGTTGCGTGAGACGCGTCCCTGCGGTGCTAAACCCAGGAATATTAAACCATGTTTGTGTCCGGTATGCATAGCTAAAACCCAACAAGGCCAAGGACTGCACATGATATGGGATCTGTAACTCCAGGACGTATGACAATTGATGAAGAATAACAGGCCATGGAAGTTGGAACAGATCTAGCGCAAGAGGTTCTGCAGCTGTGTAAAACCATTTCTTGGTGAGCCATTGCCTCCGCGACAGTGCAAAGTCGGATGTGCGCACATCAAAGGGTGTTGGCCGGCAATAAAACATGTTGTTTTGTCTAGGATGGACGGCAGATTCTGGGTAAAAAAGCGTACATCGCGGATAACTGAAATGCCGCCATTTTGCACGTTGTCTTTGGCCGTAACACCATAACTTCAACTACTGGCATAATGAAAGGAACACTGCCTTGTATTCGCCTCCCAAAGATCCAGTGCTGAGGTGCAAAAGTTGCAAAACATCACATCAAGAAAAACTTCCGGACACAACGAAGCGCCCAATGAATCAGAAACAGATGCTCGACCCATTTCAGTGCATGTTGACTCCATGTCTTAAGGAAAGGGAAAGTCCGTTCAAACGATCCCACTCCAGCCGATGGGAGTACAAGAACAAAACCATAAAACACAGCCAGCAACACATGAACTTGCGGTGCACGCGCAGATCAGTTCACATTAACATCTCAGCACACAACCACTCCATCTCTGACCACAGCTACCAATGACGACGAATATATGACCAGCATCGCAACAGCGCACTATCGGCGACCGGCCATCCCACGCACAGACGGCTACATACCCGGCACTTGACGGTGGGGCTGATCACTTCGGTGACGTTCATGACGGCGGCGGGTGGCGACCTCACTGGCAGGGAGCGGCACCAGCTCTGCCAGCGCCCGCCGCCGGTCGGCCTGCCCGTCCCGCCTCCGGATGCGTAGCGCCACCACTCGACGCTATCAGAGCCGATAGGCGGGTATGAGGAAGTTATCAGAACGGCCCGGGGTCGCTGGTGGTGACAGCGGACAGCGCGCGACGCACATATTGACGGCTGACGCCGCCGCCAGCCGACCACGGCCCAACTAACCAGGCGTGCGTTATCTCAGTCGTTTGTACTGGCGTCTGTCCGTGACCGACTTAACACCGCGTTTCACAGTTTTCATTCAACAACAGAAAACATGACCATCTGCATGTTAGCATGCTCAACTAGGGTTGAGCATTGTTTACTCTAATGACTGGTCGGACCGTACGGTATGAATTGGCGCAGTGTGAGTGTAAGCTTCCAGGTGACACGTTATGTTTAAAGTCGCGACAAGAAAATGTGACTCACTGGCTGCGGATCTCACATTAAGTTGAGTTAGATCAAAGTAGATTTGTGTTCTAAAACAGCTGCTTAAATAATTCGGAAACATTTTTATGTTAATTTTGCAGTTTTGGAACAGCAATGACGTAGACAAAAAAATTATTGTCGACCTAACACAACTTGGATTGTCACAGCCGCATTTGGTATATGCAAATTGTGCAAGACTACCCAAAATTTTCGTGCCTGACATACTTAAACACTTACGTAGACCTGGCGCAAGCATGGCTTACGGTGGTCAACACCTAGAGCCTCCAATGATGAAGACACATTAACTTGATATCCTCGATGCTACAAAGTCTGTCATGGCAGTAAGATTTCCTCAAGCTTCTAAAGCCTTCGGATGTGCTCAGACATACAACCTCTAGAATCCTAAGAGGTCCACAGGGCAAGAATGGCAGTGGGAAATATGTATCTCTCCTGCGATAGAGGTTATTTAAACCAAGTCATCTGTTCCACAAGATACCCAAACAGCTGACAGCTAGCTATTTGACTCAGTAATTCCTTTAAAAAGTAATTTGCATTGTCCATCTACCCGCGGTGGATCCAGAGGGACGAGCGACGGTGACATGTCCCCCCCCCCTTTGGCCCCAAATGGGCCCATAAGCTACGGTGGTCCATAACTGGCTGAACGAGCAGCGTTTGGGCACGAAATGCAGGAAAATTTGACGTATTTGGGCCTCCAGTGGCCGAAGAATAGTCACGAGCGCGGGTGAAGAGCCCGCAGGCGGAAAAATAATCATTCGCTGATTGAGAGGTTGGTGGGAGATTTTGCCGATCATCACACTGTTCAGAAGCCCTGGTAGGGGTTCTGTACATATGTCCTTTTGCCGAGGCAATCCGTTCGTTAAGAAACCTTCTACGTTACCCCTGATCTATTTGCAATTGCTCGTAGGGCACTACGCTGTTGTTAGGGTCTTATCTGCTAACATGCCGTGGCCCTCTTGATCGATCACGGATTCTTTTCATTCGACCGAAGGGCTCTATGCGGTATTACCAGGGGCCCCATATGTAAACCTGGCAGGATACTCTCGATTGCTCGATTGCTCGATTGCTCGATTGCTCAGGGGCTGTTCGCATTGTCCTCGGGTTATTCCCACTTGTTCGGAGAGCCCTGCGTTCTTGGTGGACCCATATAAGTTAACTCATCGAGGCGCTCAGAGCTCAGGAGCACTCTACATTTAGTAGGGACACTTTCCACTTGATCTTATTTGCGAAGGACCCTTCGCTTTTATTGGGGCCCCTTTCCGTTAACTGCCTGGGCACACTTGGCCACACAGAACCCTGCTACAATGGTCTCGGGTGCTTCTTTGAAAAACTTTAAATGGGTAGTGTCACACAAAAGTTTCATGGCGGCGCAATCAAACAGTGACGTGTTGAAGAGCATATTCACTAAAAAGAGAAACGAAACGAAAACGTTGTCTGGAGCAGTGTTTTCCACTTAAAAGTATATTAATATCCATAAGCGAGCTTGTTTTATCATATCTTTAATATCTTTAAATGTGAAACACTCTATCTAAGGTGCGTGCGCCTGAGCGTGCTGCCAGCATAATTTTATATATAACACCGCGCGGGGCCGGTAAAATAAGCTTTCAAGATCGAACTCCTTGGCGCATTTTTTGGCTTGACACTGTATGTCAACGGCGTAAAGTTCAACGGCAGGTCCTGGGGAAGCTTTCTAATGCAAGTGTTGTATGATTAGTGTGTGGTGTGATGCATTGTTATCGTAGCACGAAACAGCAAAAAATTATTTCCTAGATCAGTATGACATTCGTGACGAGGTAGAAAACAGAAGGGGCTACGTGAACTAGAAAAGAAAGTTATAGGATTATTCGTTAAAAGATCAGGTGTGCGCCTCTGTTTCACAGATAAGCCATGATTGAAACGCACAAATCTGTACCTCTCCATGCTGCATCTCGTAAAGAATTCCACAAGCTGTGTCCAAAAGTTATCTGTTCAGCAACTAGCAGTGTGGTCTCTGCAGCTGTGAGACATATGTGACTCCATGGTTTGATCCTGTCCAGCTCATCACAGATTTGCACATCCTGTCAGGCGTTTAACGGTGACCTCATCCTCCCTTCGATTCATGGACCTTCCCATGAAAGGTGGTGTAAAAAAAGCAAGAGGTGTAATATGCATCTAAGGCCCAAATCATCAGGATGGTGAAGCATGCTGAGGAAGCTACATTTGGTTTTATGGGTCAGGCAGCGATTGGTAAATCGATGAACTTGTTTTTTGTATTTGCTGAAAACTTTTCAGCATAGCAGGTTTTCCTGGTGAGTGTGTACTGTGACTGGAATCTAACAATCACTGATGTTACAGATAATATTGCTGACGAGGTCCTAAGCCGTTTGGAGCATGCTACGAATGGATATAGGTGGGTAAGTCGCTACTCACCCTACTCAAGAGATGCAGCGATTTTGGCAGCTGCATAAGCCAATAGGCACTCACCATCGCAGCGCACGTAACGACGATGAAATATTCGTTATTAAATGAGTGACTGATATCACGAGCAAGGTCGGCCCAAGGTCAGCTAGTGGTCGAGCATTCCAGTGCGACATCGTTTTCAGTCAGACTGGTATATCTGGGCAGTGTTACGATCACAGCGGTTTGCTGGCAGTGAGGCCATGTGGGCAGGCGGTAGCAGAGGCAGGGGGGGCCCACATAAGCAGGCAGCAAACGACACAGCGGGCACGCGTGAGCAGGCAGCGGACGACACAGCGGGCACGCGTGGGCGGGCAGCGGACGACACGGCGGGCCGCCGCCGACACAGCAGGCACGCGTGAGCAGGTGCTGCAGCCCGTGACGCCCGCCAGCCGCTCGGAAGCGGGCGGTTCCGGCCGCGCCGCCGCCCCGCCCAGGCCGCTTCCGGCCGGCGGCGGGGCGCACCACCGGCCCGGCCCGGTCGGCAGTGGCCCCGGCTGTGTGCCCCGCGGCTCGTTGTGGTAGTGAGCTTCCCCTGACCAGCGACGCCGAGGCGCCGCCGGCTCTCGCTCGTCGCTGGGACCGGCGCCGCTGTCTCAGGCGAAGTGAGATGGCCCGGTGCTGGACGTCGCGCCGCCAGGACGCCAGGAGAGCGGAGGCGCGCTGAGATGAGGTCAGAAGGCGGCGCAGTGGGCGCCCGAGCCCTGTGGGCGGCGCCCCACGCGGCCGCGCTGCTGCTGACCTGGCAGGTGGTGGCCGGTCAGGTGCAGGAGGCGCCGGTTATTTCGATACCGCAGGGATCTCTCCGAGGGGTGAGTACGCCGGCATGGCCATCACGCCATTCACGGCTGGCCATTCGCCGGCCGTGAATGGCTGCTCATGGTGAAGGCTGGCGGCACTTGAGATGGATGTTCAGTGTGATGCTATACTGCAGGTGATGTGTGTAGGTGTGCAATGTTGCGTCACAAGCACTGACTGACTTAGGTGATGCTGTGGTTTGTTGATGCGCGGGCGTTCTTTACCCGTGATAGTTGCGCTAGATGATGCCACTCAGAATGGTGCAAAGTGGCATTTAAGTGGTAAGTTATTCTAATTTGCCATGCGTCTGGCAACAGGTGAATTATCAGTGACAGTATATCACAGCGTGACGACGGTAAATTTCTCACGCAATGGATTTCTGTGAAATTCGGTACTGTCTGCCGGGTTATATTGATTAGTGCCAAGCAAGCATTTGCTTACAGCGACGAATATCCGTTTGCGTGCTTAAAGTTATACAATCAACTGATTACTGACTGATTGCACTTTTTAAAGGCACGCATAACTGTCACGCGGTACGTTACCGCCAGTTAGCTTTTAACAAACGGTTCCCGCGTGCATTGTTGCCTGGGGAGGTGACGCCGCGTGCGCTGGTAGCGCCTATATCCTTGACGTAACGTTGAGCTGAGTATGAGTCATGAACTTTCATTAACGTCTGGGAGCCAATCAGTATCCGTGGATCACGTGAACATTGCCCAAAATTGCCCACGGAAAGCTCTTCCACGGGATTCCTGCAACTATCCGAGATTCAATGTCTTCAACAACTTGACCTCTGCACAGCTCGTTTCTCCTGCTCATGCGTAATGTGCCGCCTTGCTGAACGTCAAAACCTGCCCCTTCCCGCAAGCACCGTAATCTACACAGACATCGGAAGGCCGTGAGCTGATATCTACGTCGGTATCGGAGGTCGGCAACTAGGATCTGCACCGGTGTCGGACGGTCAGTGAGCTAAGATCTACACCGGTGTCAGAGGTCGGGAGCTAGGATCTACACCGGTGTCGGAGGTCGGCAGCTAGGATCTGCACCGGTGTCGGACGGTCGTGAGCTAAGGTCTACACCGGTGTTGTAGGTCGGGAGATAGGATCTACACCGGTGTCGGACGGTCGTGAGCTAAGATCTACACCGGTGTCGTAGGTTGTGAGCTCAAAATATACTAAGCTTAAACAGAATGGACGCCATCAAGACACATCAGGAAAAATGATTACACAAATGCTTAAATATTAAAACGCTTGAAGCTATGCACAAAGGCACATAGTTTAGACGAGCCCATTTCAAAAATTAAAAATGACTGAACGACACGACAACGCTCAGAAACTACAGCTTACAAGATGCACTGTGACGAGACTTTTTGTTAAGCAAAGGTTCAGTTAATGAGTGTAAACGGATTCACAAATTTTCCGATTAGGGTGATCACTGGTTTTCTGAAGAATACGAGCTCAAAGAAGGATGTCGCCGCGTGCGATCTGATAGTCTTGATGAACAGTAATGAATTGGTCGCTTGTAGGGCTTTAAGCGGAATTGTTTTTTTGACAGAGTTTATCTTCAGTGTTTGTTAGTTCAGTGCCTGAGTGCTTCAATGCTGTCTATCAGTGCTTGTTGAATCTTAGTCTAATTGGTCGCTTTGACTGCCCTTACATAAGATTTACTTTAACATTTTCACCCTTGCCCAAGCGTGCAGCACATGAAATACTATATACAGAACTAGACGTCAAACATTTCCCGTTTAATTAACTGTACTGACATGCATTTTCACCGACAACATGCATATGTCCAACTGTCGTCCCATACTTGCTTGCTTTCTTTAGTTTAGAACGCACTTTACCGAGTAAACCAGTGAAAACATTAAAAGAATTCTGAGGAAGGGTATCAATATGCATATGGTAGGGCAACGGTGTCACCAAAAGTGCTACCGTTCCCGGTGGTTTTCGTCACGGCAGATGATTATCGCTGCTTTGGTTTAATATTTGCACCGATAGCTTGTCTATGGCTCTTAAAAACACTCGTCTAGGTGGCCACTATCTAGGCGGCATAACCACGTGGTGCATACCGATGATATGGCTCTTCTGTCAAGCGTCATCTTTCGGCTCGCAGACTTTGCTGAATAGATGCCAGGAATTTGCCAAAGAGCATGGTGTAACGTACGTTACAAAAAAGACTATGAGCGTGCGTGGTCAATGACTCAAAACGAAACAAAAAGTTTCGTCACAGTTTATATTGTGATGCTCAATTAACGTGCGGAAACGAATCCAATTGCATTCATAGAAGCACTAACAACAGTTAAGCTTTTGGAGGATTACGTTGGCTTCATACAATATGATGCGTCTTGTGACAGCTCCCTGCAATGTCGTATGCTATGATACCAAACGAACTCCCTTTTCTTCAGGCTTTTCATGTGCTCCTACTTCGCCAGAGAGTATTGATTTGCGACCTAATGCTTACTGTATATTGTGTGTCACCTACATGGCGTATGTACAGCGCAACTGTTCTTAAGATGCTCATGATGTATCTGAACAACACGTTCCGGATACCTTTTGGCTGCTTTCGCGGTGGTGCTCCCATAGTGTATGTGTCAGAGCACAACGATACCCGCGAAACGGTGCATCTAAAGGCGGCTTTGGGCTTCCGATAGCGCGTCCGCAATTTGTGCAAATGCATCTTATCTCTTGCTGTAAGCGACTTGCAAGCACACTCGTTGCATGGGGTGTCCTTGAACCCATCCCAGTGAGGTGATCTCCTTATCGGACTCAGAGTCGTTCGAGATAATCCACCCGAACGCCCAGGCCGGCTGAGGAGCCTCGGATCCCCTATTTGACAGGGACAGCACGACAATCCAACTGAACCTGTTTGACTGAACCTATCTGATCGACAGCGCTTGGCGCAAAACGCCCCTTGTTAATGAACCAGGGCTGCTGTTTCCAGGTCCGCGAGTACGTGACACCTAGTCAAAGACCTGTGTTTGCCTACAAAGGGATACCGTACGCCACGCCGCCAGTGGGAAGGCTTCGATTCAGGGTAAGGTATGCCATAGGCATTCTATTCATACCTGCCTCCGTCCCACGCTCGGTCCGTTTCAAGTGAAGAGAGCATGGTCGAATGGCTGTTGACATTCCGTCTTACTTCGTCTTACAGTCGCGTTGTGACCAAAGGACCGCTATCTTGCTGTGCAAGTGTCGGCTTAATATGAAGTAGCCCCCACAACAAGCCGGATGGTGATGCGGTAGAAATGTGACGATTCGCGAGGATGATGGTACGATCGCCACAATGCACGTTTCTCCTCATAGTTTGCCATATGCATCAGTCTTGCGTGACGTTCGAGCCCTCCCCCTGTATTCCTGGAATCCACGACGTATGTTAACTGAGCTGATGCAGCCGAGCCACTCGCATACCCCGTGTAGACCAGTGGTAACCACGGATAATCATGGCAAGCCAGGCTATTCGTATATGGGCCGGTGTGATTATGCATATAGAAGGGTTCTCGGACGAAAAGTCAACTGGGAAAAGTTGAACCAAAAAAGTCGAACGACAAACAGTCAAAAGGGATAAAAGTTGTGGTTTGATGGGAGTGGATGGGATGGGACAGGAGCGGGCGGGACCGCACAGGACCACATCCCACTAGAAGGGATCGGATGCCAGCAGACGAGATAGGACCGTTTTGGGTGGGACCGGACGAGGCCAGGTGAGACCAGATGGGACGGGACCGGACTGAACCGGACGGCACCAGACGGCACCAGACGGGACGTGGCCGGACGCAATCAGACAGCATGGAACGTCACCGGACGTGGTCAGAGGGAACCGGACGGGACCGGATCGAACCGAACTGCACCAGACGGGACCACGCGTGGGTGGACGTGATCAGACAGCATCGGACGTCACCGGACGTGGTCAGAGGGAACCGGACGGAACAGATCCGGACGAGACGGGACCAGACGGACCCAAACAGACCCAAAAAGAAACGATCGGAACTCACAGAAAAGGACGAGATCAGGCAGGACTGCGTGGAACATGACAGACGGAAGCAGGACGGACTGAGACTAACTTTAAGATGATCGCCGGGGAAGGATGTTACCTTAGGACCTAAATGCGGCGCCAAGTTAAGGTCTCAACTGTCTCGTCACATCACCTGGCTCTCGTTGGCGGCGCGGCGGCGCGCGCCTCCTCCTGTGACGTTGGGGAGAGGGAGGAAGGTCGAGTGCGCAGGGAGGCCGCAGGGCAGCGGGCGGAGTCTGTTGTGCGACTGTGTCGACAGTGAGCCTGCGTATGAATTATGAAGCCAACAAAAAAAACACCCAAAACTACGTTGCTTGATATCTGCGAGGAGGGCCTTGTGCAAAGTTCGACACTCCAGCCTCTGGTATTCAGTCAGGAGCGTGGCTTTGTAAAATGAGTTGAGGGAGGGGATGGGTTCGGGCCCGGGAAGATGGCGCAGCCTACCTTCAGAACCCCATCAAATGGGTTCTCCCCGGATTCGACCCACTTTCGTCCCGAAGTTGTGAGGAGGCTCCAACCCCTTCCTCCCCAACTGAATAGAAAACTACACCCTGTCTTCGGCATTATGACTTTAGAGTTTCTGTGGTGAATTATCGACCTTCATTTTATCCGGACGTACGGTTAAACGAAGTGATAGAGTAAACATGCATGATATGGTCAGTATTAGGAGTTTCAAGCTGTGCTATGATAACGAGTGTGCCATCACAAGCACTCCGTACAGCCTTATGGACTTGCTTCAGGCTTGTGTCCCTTTGCACTTTTCGTTTGTTGCATTTTCTTTTTCGACTTATTCTTTCGACTTAAAACCTTGCCTTCTCTTAGTTCTTCGAATCTCGTCATTTCGACTTTTTCCGGTTCGACACTTATCCCTATCAACCTTTTGTCATTTGACTTGTACACGTGACGCACTCGTTGGTCAATGTTGCAAACGTTGGCCAGCGAGTAGGTCACGTGGTCTGACCTCGGCTGGCGCCTCGTTCACGATTTGCGGTCACGTGCCCGCCGCCCTGTTTTGCAGCCGCCCGTGCGCGACTACGGCTGGAACCGGACCCAGCTGTTCGACCGGTTCGGACCGGCGTGTCCGCAGGTGGACACGCAGGGCGTGCCCGGTCCCGGCGTGTCCGAGGACTGCCTCACGCTCAACGTCTGGATCCCGCAGGTCGGTGACGTCGCCCCCCCCCCCCCTCCCCGCTGACACCGGCGGTGCACCGACACGCGCCCGGCTGTCCGCGGAGCCGTCCCCCTCATCGTGAGTTCTGTAGAGGTGGAGGAGATGCCGCTGTCATTCGTGCTAAACTTGGTCTCGCATATCCCAGTGGTGGGAATGGTGGCGTTACTGGTGCCATCTGACGAAAGCGCACTGGTCCATTACGACCCCATGCGTAAGCCACACTCGTTCAGCGTCATGCAATGACTAAGCCATGCCGAGTGCATGTTTTAAGCGCGTCTCCCCGTGCCCATGAGCGCGTGACGCTTGCCATCATTCCCTACCGACGTGGAGCGCCGCGGGTCTGACGTCACCGAATGGGGCCCCGCCTGCGGCGGCATTTCCGGTTCGCGGAGGGACACTGCGCGTGTGTGGCGGGGAGGGGTCGGCACGTGCCACGCCCGCACCGCTCCAGCCACTCGGCCGTGGAGGGACGCGCCTCCGCCCCGCACTATCATGGCTTCATGACTGTTAATGACCGCCAAACGCCGCTTTTGTGGGGGGAGGGGGAGGGGGGCGAGGAGGCTGTCCGTGCTTCCGCTGCCGGCTGCCAGTTTGGTGGCCTTTGTGTGAAATCAGCTCAGATGTCGCCTGTATATGTGCTGTTGGTAAACCTGCGCACGCGCGCTACTGCCTTAAAAATCAGCTCAGATGTCGCCTGTATATGTGCTGTTGGTAAACCTGCGCACGTGCACTACTGCCTTAAAAATCAGCTCCAATCAGCATGCGAGATATTGCAAGAGATCATATCAGCTGGGGCTTGTTTGGCATTCGATTCACTCTGGTTTGTCGTAACTATTTTTCACGCGCTCAAATCCCCTTGGACCTCTCTCTCTCTCTCTCTCTCTCTCTCTCTCTCTCTCTCTCTCCTCTCCGCTCTCTCTTCTCTCTCTTTCTCTCAGCTCTCTCGAGTCTCTCTTCTCTCTCTCTCTCTTATCTCTCTCAAGGAGCTCTAGTCTAGAGAGAGGGAGGGAGGCGCTATCTCTCTCTACTCGCTCTCGCGAGGCGCTCTGCCGAGGCTGCTATCCTCTTCGCTATCTCCTCTGCCGATAGAGCTCTCTCTCTCTCTGCTAGAAGGAGCGAGCTCTCTCCCTCTCTCTCAGCTCTCGTCTCGAGCTATCGCCCGGAGAGCTCTCTCTCTCTCTCTCTATCTCTCCTCTCTCTTAGCTCTCGTCTCTCTCTCTTCCTCTCTCTCTCGTCAGCTAGAGCTCTCCTCGATTCTCTCTTCTCTCTCTCTCGCTCTAGCCTCTCTCTCAGTTCGCTCTTCTCTCTGATCTCTGGATCTCTTCTACTTCGTCTCTCCTCCTCTATCTCTCTCTCTCTCATCTCTCTCTCTCTCTCTCTCTCTCTCTCTCTGTCGTTGAAGTACCATTGACGCTTCGGACTCGTGTTTTTCCCAGGCGCCTGACGGATTTCGCCGTTTCCCAGTCGTCGTCTTTCTGGATGGCGAGCTGTTCTGGAGACAGCGAGCCTCCAAGTTTCCAATGGAAGAGCTAAGCTCTGAAGATCTCGTTGCAGTGTCCATCAGCTACAGAACGAACGCATTCGGTAAAATATATGTGTCAAATGCCAGTACGAATTGATTGCCACATGCAAAACAGAACTGGATCCCTACGTGCTATATTGGTTTTTAACCAATACAAATGGCATGGCTGAGAGCTGCCTTAAGCTTTTGGAAATCGACCGTTTAAGTTGGGAATCTCATTACCTTTTTTTTGCTCGTTCCAAGCGAGTGACTTACTTTGAGTATCTATTAAGCCGTATGTTTCAGCATCAGTAAAAAAATGGTTTAGGCTTTCTTTAGGTCCTTACCGTCATTACTTCGTACGGAAGCATGAAGCGACAATCTTTGTATATCCGCTGCCATAGTTGAAATTTGGCTTCATTTGGAAGGGCATTGTGTGGGTTGATGACATTCAACAGGAGCTGTTAAGTGCATTTGTGAGGAATATTATGCATATATATATATATATATATATATATATATATATATATATATATATGAGACGGTATTAATAGCCGTATTCCTCCTGAAATGAACGGGATAATGGAGAGATAGATATGACATTTTGGCTAAATGCCTTTATCAAAACGAGAAGTCCAACCAATGACATTGACAATGACAGTGACAATGCCTTTTCGTTTGGATGAAGGCATACAGCCTTAATATCACATCTATCTCTTAATTCTCCTGCTTATTCTACGAACAATAAGCTATCATTACTCTCTCATCTTTAACGGAAGCCTTAAAATGCCGTCTATGGGCGGTTCAAGAATAACCCTTTCGTGCCCCTCATACTAGAACACGTTCGGAAGCTTCACCCCTTACGCATAGGTATGAAGCGCATCTCTCCGATCACCAAGGCCCGGTCGTGTTCTTAGCAAGGCGCAGACAGCCTGGTAATCGGTCATTCCAAGCTTGGGCCAAAGCAAGGACACCGGTAATCGGCTATGTTAGTTTGCAATCGAAGTATGTGTGCATGCAATCGTCGTATGGGTATGTCCGGATACTTGTACTCGCTGCATTAACAAATATCAGTGTTCGGAAGCCGGAAAAAAGGGTTTCACCTGGATTCCAAAAGTTTGCGGCCACAAACGCTGAAAGTCTGGGATCTACTGCACTATGTGAGGTGCATTTGTCGACATTGGCCCAAGCTGTTCTTCCCTGTCGCTGGTTTGCATCTCCGCATTTCAAACGTCAGTTAAGGTCAAGGTCACGCTGAGGCAATTATAAAATTGGTTTTAAGCTGGTCCACGGATCTTACATCACATACTTAACATGCTGCTACATGCTTCATCGTTGACCTCTTCATCTTTCAAGGTCCAGTCCCCTGTTTAATGAGGTCATGAAAATAGCTAAGCCGCGCTACCTAGACGATTTAATTAAACGGTACCATAGCACGCAAATGCCTTATCTTGAAGACTGCCTTCGTCAGATATGGTCCTTCGTCAGCAGTTAAAGATGGTGTTGCTGGTAGTTTCACATCGCGAATCGTGATCAGTGGTAACCATAATCACATTGAGTGTTTTACGAATATATGACACATATGATTAAAATGGCGCATGATCTATGTGACATGATACATATGACACCCGTATATTTAATAGCAGGATCAATGGGAGCTCAAACCAATATGGGAGGAGTTGCTCGCCCCCTCCCCCCTTCCATCAGACATATCAAGTGACCCCCTGATTAAAGCTTTTGACCGGGTGTTCACGGCACAATTGGAGCTGACAAGGTTTCTTACTAACTACGAGTACCGCCCGGTTTGTGGGCTATTAAATGTGTTAAAAGAATGCAAGCTGGGAAGATTTGTTCATTTTCATTATCACACGCATGCAATTCACCGTCTGGCTTAAACATATAACCCACAGTGGCGACTCCATCACATTTCGCGGTCAGACACTGTCACAATTAATCACATGTTGTGATACTAACTCCTATGAAATCCTAGGTTGGTCTGGGAGCAGTGCTTATCTAATATTTTAAGTGTGTTGTATTACTGACCCAGTCACATTATAAGGACCTCCAGGGGCTTCCTAATCCGAGACCGCCTAATCGAAGCCGGAGCACTGAGCACGGACACGCACAGTATGTGACCGTCGCCGTCACCACTCGGCCCTCGCTAACAGCACCGCCCTGGCGGCCGCCCCTGCAGGCTTCCTGACGCTGCGCTCTCGAGCAGCGCCCGGCAACCTGGGCCTACGCGACCAGCAGCTGGCGCTGCGCTGGGTGCGCGACAACATCGGCGCATTCGGCGGCGACTCGCGGCGCGTCAGCCTGGTGGGCTTCTCGGCAGGCGCAGCTTCGGCCGGCCTCCACCTGGTGTCGCCGCAGTCGCAGGGCCTGTTCCAGCGCGCCGTGCTCATGTCAGGCTCGCCGTTGGCGCCGTGGGCGCACATGAGCAGTCAGGAGGCGCGTCGCATCGGCCGCGAGCTCACTGCTATCATGGGATGCCGCAACAGCGACGACGAAGAGGCGCTGCGCTGCCTGCAAGACCAGGACTTCACGCGTCTCCTCACGGCCGCCCAGAGGATCCTGGAGGTATGCGTTATGTGATATCATCCGTCCTTCTTTCCTGGTTCTCGCTTCGTCTTGCATCCTCGCGATACCTGCGTGCTCCAGACATGAATGGGTTCAAATGCCCACCTCGTGGGACCCGTCCGAGCGCCAAGCACGCACAGACACACACACACACACACACACACACACACACACACACACACACACACACACACACACACACACACACACACACACACACACACACACACACACACACACACACACACACACACACACACACACACACACACACAAATATATGTACATATATATATATATATATATATATATATATATATATATATATATATATATATATATATATATATAACTTACATACAGCCTGTATTTCCCTCGGACAGCTGGTGAGCAGCCCAACAATGAATCCCGGGCGGCAAACGCGCCCTTTGCACCGTCCCGCCAACAAGCGTTCGCCGACCTGCTGACACTCCCCTCCGACTGACCCGGCTCCGGCTCCGGCGACCGATTCGCAGTCGGCGAGCCGGTTCTTCCCGGTGTTCGCGCCGGTGACGGACGCGTTCCTCTCACCGCCTGAGCGGGTCCTGCCGGACGACCCGGAGCGGCTGCTGCGGCGCGGCGACTTCGCCAAGCTGCCCGTTATGGCCGGCATCGACCAGGACGACGGCATCCTCATGCTGTGTGAGTCGCGCTGCGTCGGCGGAGTCAGGCCGATTCCTGCTGTGCGGGCCGGCTTCTGGTCGCTCGATTTCGAGGAGCATTGGAACTAGGTGTCTTCCTTCGGCTTGGGTACGGAACTCGACCATGAACTTGGTCTCAGTCGCCTCAGTGCTCAAGGTTCTCCCGTTACGGACTCATCGTGTTCTAGAAACTTAGCACTCGACCGCTTTGGCTATGGGATCCACATTTTAAAAATGACACAGTTGCATTTCCGCACCGTGTGCGAGGCCCCCGTGCCGTAGCCTGAAGGCTACATAGTTTCATTACATCAAACTACCTGCCATCGGCCCCAGCGCTGCGCCTCTCTGCTGCAGGGCTTCGTTTGTCTTTGCTTTAAGCTGACACGTGATCACAAAAACCAGTACGCCGGCATCGTCTGTCATCTAGCCGATGATTACATGTACTAGTGCACAGGTATCGTTTGACCACTGGCTCGTGACCACACGGACCAGTACACCGGCATCATCGGCCTGTTGACCTGTGATCCCGCGGACCAGCACACCGGCATAGTTTGACCAATGGCTTGTGACTATACAGACCAGGACATCGGCATCATCGGCCTGTTGACCTGTGGTCCCACGGACCAGCACACCGGCATAGTCTGACCAATGGCTTGTGACTATACAGACCAGTACACCGGCATCATCGGCCTGTTGACCTGTGGTCCCACGGACCAGCACACCGGCATAGTTTGACCAATGGCTTGTGATCATACGGACCAGTACATCGGCGTCATCGGCCTGTTGACCTGTGATCCCACGGACCAGCACACCAGCATAGTTTGACCAATGGCTTGTGACTATACAGACCAGTACATCGGCGTCATCGGCCTGTTGACCTGTGGTCCCACGGACCAGCACACCGGCATAGTTTGACCAATGGCTTGTGACTATACAGACCAGTACATCGGCATCATCGGCCTGTTGACCTGTGGTCCCACGGATCTGATTGACCTGTCGGCATAGTTTGACCAATGGCTTGTGACTATACAGACCAGTACATCGGCGTCATCGGCCTGTTGACCTGTGGTCCCACGGACCAGCACAACGGCACTGTTTGACCAATGGCTCGTGATCACACAGACCAGTACCCGGGAACGGACCGGCTGACGTTCTCCAACCTGACGCACGTGCTGCGCCGGGTGGTGGTGCCCCGTCTGCTGGACCAGCATCAGCTGACGGCCCGGCGTTCCCTGCTCGAGGGCGTGCTCAGCTACCGCTACATCGACTCCGTGCCGCCCGGCAGCCAGCAGCTCATGCTGGCCAGCTTCGTGAAGGTGGGGTCGGCGCTGAAGGCGGCAGGTTGTCAGCGTGGGGGTAAACACGGACGGCGCCTGCAGGGCGGACATTGTCACGGTATTCGTGTGACCTTTGCTCAGGGAAGATAAGCAGTCGTATGTTAGCTTACACTGGCAAGCAGTAGATAAGAAGGTGCTCAAAACATTTTGACCGATTTTGCGAGCTTGTGCAATAGTTAAGTGATATGGGACATGGTCATTCAATATGTGCTAAACTTGCATTGCTGAGACGACAGCAGCTTTTAAAAAATCTAGCCTGCTAACTGTTTATGTCATCAAACTGCTTGTCATGCAGGGCTTACACAGATTAGTACCAATGATCGAAATGAAGATTTCCACTCACCGCGATGCACAATACTCGACTTGGCCTAGACAGGGAGCATGATCCATCACGTACGTCACAAAGAACACATCACCACTGGCTGTTGTGATTCCGTGGAGCCGGCTGACCCAGCTCAGGGCAGCACTGATCCCAGCCGTGGCGGAGCCATGGGTACCCATGGCTCCAGAAGCCATGGCTCCGCCACGGGAGCTATAGGACCCAATCCAGATGTAGCTTTTGTCCCGGGCGAGAAAAAAATTATATATTGCTCAAGGGAAAGTTCGTAGGTTATGTCTTATTTTGATTGCACTTTCCTGAAATTGCTTTAAAGCCCTTGCTAGTTAAAATCTTAATTGAGGGCTCAGCAAAAATTTAGACGATGAATGAAATAACGACAATGAAGCGCCTGTCTTAGGGATAATTATACCTCAAAGTAGCACGAATGCATCAAATATGATAGCTAACGGGAGGTTTTATATTTGGGTTAAGTGCACAAAGCATGCATGCGTACTTCTTTGGCGGTCCGGTTGAGCCAGTTTGCAACACAATGCCGTTGCCGAAATGTTCTGTCCTTGAATATGTGCAAATCGCTTTTGGAGTTTGCTTGCCGCCCGGCAGTCGTAGAATGCCGACGATTATTGTGGAGAGGAGTAAAGCTGCTGCGACTAGAATGCTTTGCTAGCGACTCAGAATGAGAGCACAGAGCGAACATCTGGTCAGGGCTGCTCTAACGCCGAGTGGCCTGTGCGTACAGATTTTCAGCGACGCCTACTTTGTGGCTCCGCTGTACGGCTTTCTGGAGCTGTACGCACGGAGCGGGGCCCCCATCTACGCCTACGCCTTCACCGAACGCGGTCCAGACATCTTCGGCAACGTCGTCGCCCTGGAAGGTACATCACGAGCCTGAATGGGCTGGGAACTTGCGATTAACTCAGGCTATCGGTCCACGTCCGAAGGCTCGTTGAACTTGGTGGTGAAAAGCATGGCCTAATATGGGCTAGGCGGTGGCGCGTGCAACCATTAGACATCCAGGAAGATAGCGATTTTTCGCAGCTGCTTTCCCGGGCGGGAGCGGACCACAGGCCTCCCCTGTGACGCGGTGGGCCCTCTGGCGGCAGGCGCCAGCCACGGCTCCGAGCTGCTGTACCTGCTGGGGCCCAGCCTGTTCCGGACGCTGGTGGGAGGCACGTACGGGCCGGCGCAGCAGCGGCTCGGTCAGAAGCTGACCGCCTACTGGAAGGGCTTCATCACGGAGGGGTGAGGCGACGCCTCCTCGACAGCGGGACGCTCAGGACCAGGCGCGGCGTGTCGCCGCTGTCTGAGCCGGATGACAGACATAACACACTGATGTGCGGCTACTAATGTCTGTTGCGCTCATGGCGTTTGTGGCTGTCAACGCTGTGATTAGCTAGATTGGTGCTCATTCAACGATCGGTCACATTTTTAAGCTAGCTGTGTTTTTTTCATTCGTCTTGGCTGCGTGGCTCGTCAGGACTCACAGGTCGACGGCACAGCATGTATCATATCGCAAACATAACGGCAGATACCTTATCGAATGATGCGCGCGCAATCCGCACTTTAGGGTCACATCTGTGGCGTACCCCGTGCTGGCCTCGTATGAGCACCGATCGCCCCGATCCACAGTGACCCGGTGCGGGGCCGGTTCGGGGAACGCTGGGAGCGCTTCACACTGGACCGGCCGGTGTTCCACAACCTGGTGGGCTCGGTGGCGGAGATCGGCTACCGACGCGGGGACGCGGGCTACTGGAACACCTTCCTGCAGTTCATCGAGGGCGCCGGCGCCACGGCAGACCCGTCGCTGGCCACCACCGCCCAGACTCTGGGTACGGCTCACACTCGGTGGCTGCTGCTACCGGCACAACTGATGGCCTTGTTAAATAGGTGCACGCATTGCTCATGAATGTAGCATACATTCTTGGAAATAACCACAGGCTAGAACTCGGGATTCATGAAAATATTAGATTGAGCTAGCATGTAAAAGTAAGATTGCTTTGGCTGCTTTATTAGGCTGCCTTGGATGTCCACTGGAAGTCAAAGATATATTGATTTGGCTCTCAGCTGACGCTATTGCGTTATGCGCGGGAATTGCAACGCCACAGTTCTTATCGTGCGCTCGTTTCTTGACAGATGAAATGTATTGTTAATCAGTCAGATATTGACTTAGAGTGACGTCTGGTGTGTTTCAGTGGGCGGCCAACCGCCCTACGAGGCCATCATGTGGGTGTTGGTGGTCATCATGGCCGTCATCATCCTGGGCCTCTTAGTGGCTTTCATCCTCACCAGACGCAGGCGACGCTCCAAGTCGGACATGTCGTTTGGGTAGCAATCCGCCACGGAGCCGCCGGCTGTGTACCGCCGGAGCTCCAGAACAGCAGATTCGTCGTTAACGTCTTCACGTGCCCGCCGCCGCGCAGAACCGCGCGCGTCCGTCGAGGTGTCGCCACCGTCGCTCCGCCAGGTAACAGGGCCGGCGCCCGGCTCGCTCCGCCACATGGCGATCCTGAGCGCCGGTCGGGACCGCCTGGACCAGAGCGGACGCAGCCTGGACGTCGTGCCGTCGGTGACCCTCTCCAGGCCCTCTGTGATCGCAAGCTGGACGGACCGACCCCCCAGTCGGCTCAGCAGCGCGGCGCGCGTCGAGCTCCGCGATGACACCTCGCTGCGCTCAGACGGCGACCTCGAGTGGCCCGAGTGTGACGTCATCGACGCCGACCGGCCCGAGTGCGACGCCGCCGCCGTCGCCGCCGCCGACCGGCCCGAGTGTGACGCCACTGACGGCGGTGACGTCATCACGTGGGCGGGGCGCGAGCGACTGCGCCGACTGACGTCCACCTACGAGGGCGAGGTGGCGCACGAGTACTGCGTGGTGGTGGACCACGTGCCGTCACCGGTGCCGCCGGTCAGCCACGGCATTCGGGACATGGAGACGCTGTTCTAGACCGGCCGCCTGCCGTCAATGAACAAAACGACGAATTGCTTCTGCAGTACGCAGTTGGCGGCTCTGTGGAGCGCGCCTCTGGCCGACCGCGCCAGCTCATAACCGGTCACATCGTGTGAATGTGGATGTGTGCGTGTGCGGTTAGTCACCGCTGGGTGTGTGGGGGCGCTTTTTGTACAGACCGCAGTCACTGAAGGCTTTTGAGAGCGTGCGAGTGCTGGATGTGTTGCCGAATAGTATCGATCGTGACCATATGGAATCTTAGATAAACGCTTCGCGACCTTAAGCCTTGACGCACTCGGTGCTTCGTAGGCCGTTTCGTGTTTTATGTCACGTGTAGGCAGTCGTGTCGGAATTCCGTGGCCACTGTTGCTGGATTCCCAGAGGCCTCCTGTCCGGCTCCACTTACCGCAGTCGCGGATATCAAACCGGTCGTGTGCAGGTTGCTCAGGTAGTTCGCCGCTGTAGGTACTAGGTGACATGATGGGAGGCGATTTCGTTGGATGTTTGTCCAGGAGTTTGGCCGATATTCCGGTACGGTGTATTTTTCTGAAGAGATCAATTCCCTGAAGGCCTCTGAAATATTACTTCTTTGTCAAGTGGTTTAGGTTTATGTATGGTATGGTAACATCAGTCATACGAATCTGAAATTGAGATCTTATGTATCCTCTGAATGCCCTTTTCAATGCAGTGATGTCACGCTGTACGTAACGTCGCACCAGCTGGTGCAAGACTCCGTCAAACAGGTAGAGCGGACTTGCCACAGCTTAACATAAAGAAGGCCGGTTGCCGGGTGGCTGGTTGGTGTTAACTCTTGCAACGGTAATCATTTTTAATTACCAAAATATTTATTATCATTGCACCTTTAATATTAGCACGTGAAGACACATTTGGTGCATGATACCGAAGTAGATGTGTTTCGTGACATGTGCACGGGCATATCGCACCCCTGTTGGCACGAGCAAACCACACATCTGGTGGTTAACAACCATATCTGGTGGTGACAACCTGATCTGGTGCATCTGGATTGACAACCACACATCTGGTGGTTGTCAGCAGGCAGGCGTGTGAAATCAAAAGCAGGTGTGAGATCCGAGTCCGCGTGCAACTGGATTCGGATCTCACAAGGCATGCCTTGACTCAAGACTCAAGGCATGCCTTGCGTCCGAGTCCGACTATCGATGGCGCAAAGCCAGCCCTGGGTCGGTGAGTATGAGTCCGAGTCTATTCCGTTACTGTACGTAAGTATGGGTCTGAGTTCTAGACATTATGCTACGGGTGAGGCCGAGGGGATCCATGTCGTTTGCGATGTTACTGAATAGCATCGTTCCAGATCATGCCGTTGGGAATGAAAACGACAGTGAGCATTATATATATATATATATATATATATATATATATATACATTTCGTAACTTTCCACAAGATCCAGTGGCTTTTTAGAAGTTACACGTCATCATTGATAACAACGGGCATAAAAGAGACAATGTGAAACCTAATAAAAATAGCCCAACACATCACACATCGGTCAAGGGATCATCTCGGTGAATCACACTACTGCATTCACATCGTAGCATCACACACAATCGAATTCACACACGCACCCACTCATGTGCCAACAATCGCCTCACTCAGTAGCAGCTCCATAAGTTGGCGCTTGAAGCGGCCTAGACTCTGAACATTGCGCAAGTCGGACGGCAGGCAGTTAAACAAATCCGATGCTCTGTAGCTAAGTCGGCGAGTGCCAGAGCTGCTCACCGCTCGGGGGCGCCTCAGCTGGTTAGCCTGTCGCGTTTCATGAGTGTGCTCAGCACGTGTGAACATCGCGGCTATATCTGGTGGCTGACCCGTGAGTAAGACTTTTTTGAGCAGGCACGACTTATGATATCTGACGAGCTGATCAGCACTAAGCCATCGTAGATCCCTGACAACATCCGATATATGGTCACACCTTCTCCTTCCGCTCACAACCCGCGCACAGAAGTTCACAAGTTTTTGCACGCGATGGAGCTGGGTGGCTCCGTGAGTACCATACAGTGCTATACAGTATCTAATGGAGGAAAGAACTAGAGCTCCGACAATGCGAGCGAGGGTGTCTCTTGGGAGTACATGCTTGGCATGGGACAGGGCCATCAGAGCGCCCGTCGACCTGGCAACAAGCTGATCAATGTGCGGTTCAAATGTGAGATTTCTGTCCATCACCACACCAAGGTTTTTGACAGTATTGCTTTCAGTAATGACAGCTGACCCGAACTTGACATGCACAGGAGGCATTTTACGCAGCATAGCCTTTGTCCCGAAAACTATTTATCGCGTTTTTGTTGTATTGACTCTCATAGAGTGGTTGTTAAACCAGTCCAATGCAATTGACAAGGTGCTCTCCATGGTTCCGACAAGATGTTGCATCGCACTTTTCTTTCCAGTAACCAAAATCTGTGTGTCATCGGCATATTGTATCACTGTGGCACCTTCTGAATATAACGCCAGATCGTTCGAGAAAATGGAATATAGGAGCGGCCCGAGGGCAGTACCCTGAAATACCTCCATACCATTCGGAAGACTGCGAGAGCATGCAATATGCCCTGAAGGATATCTGATCTGAACCTGTTGGGTATGCCCGCAAAGGTAGCTTTCAAACCATTTTGTGTCAATATTGTATATCTTAAGCTTAGATAAGAGAAGCTGGTGATCCACAACGTCAAAACATTTGAAAGATCTATCAAAACAAGCAGAGCGATCTCCCCAGCATCCATCGCGGTGAGTATTTTATCAGTCACTACAGTAAGTGCGGTCTCTGTGAAAAATTCGTACGATATCCGTGTTGTGTATGCGAAAATAAATCACGCTCGTTAAAATGTGAGCTAAGCTGATGATGAACAATGCGCTCGACTATTTTTGCTATCCCTGGCACTACAGAGATTGGCCTAAATTTGGTAGGATCGTTCAAATCACTGGTTTTCGGGAGCGCTGCGACAAGAGCGTGTTTCCAGGCGCTGGGCACCGTTCCCTCAATGAGACTGCTATTGATGACGTCAAGTAGGGGGCAGCTGACACCACGAAAAGACTTTCGTAAGAGCTGCGTACTAAGTTCATCTAGCCCACAGGATGTCGTCGGGTTCATCGTAGACATAGCTGCAAGCAGCTCATCGCATGACACAGGACGCACCTTAAATGAGCAGGTCATAACTCGAGGGAGCCTGACTGGCAAAGCCGTGCTCGGTTCGGCACGCTGGCGGCAGTCGTAGGCCCTACCTTCAAAAAGTAGCCATTCAAAGTATCAGGATGAATGTTAGGTGTGGCTGACGTACCCTTTTTACTGCCAATAACCGATTTTAACGCACCACCACATGCCGGAGTGACCTGCCCCAGAAATCTGCTTCCTAATATGATCGCGACAGTCCCGTCTAATAGCTGCCCGTGTCTGCTTATTGAGTGCCTTGTACTCAGCACGCGAACAGCACGCTAGAGCGACGCGGCGACGAACCATCAACACACGCGTATCAGCTGAGACAGGTGGGGCGGATTGACAGCGCAGTTTAATGCGCCGGGCAGGCGCGACGGCATTCAAATGGGGTGTAAACACTCCTAGAAAATAGTCCCACTTCTCAGACGTCGTCGCACTTCCATAGACGAGAGACCAGTCGGCGCCCACAAGCAAATCATTGAAATAATCAAAATCAACTCGATTCAGGCAGCGGGATGCGATGACATTGGTGTGGCGTTTCCCTTTCGATACTTTCAGCAATATTCGCGTGAAGTCATGCGGACTATAGTGACAGGCGGTGACACCACAGCGTTGGCTGAGGTCCTTGTGATTTGTGATCGTGACATCTATCAGCGAGCCAGCAGGACGGTACGTTGGATAGGAATCGTTACACATATGCAGATTGTAAGACCTTAACAGTTGCATCAATTTCTGATAGCCGGCGCCTGTGCTCGAGCCAATCAGGTTGATATTTAAATCGCCGGCGATCACTATTGGGCAGTCATGTGTGGACATTATACATTGTAACTGGTTGTCCAAATCATATGGACACATATGGACACATATGGACACATGGCATGCTGGACCGGGCTTAGCATGGCTCGTCAGAATAGCAGTCACGTTGGGAGATGTTGGGGGTCAGCAGCCATCTGCTCCCTCTGCAGCTCCCTTGACCCCTTAGTAACGCCGGAGCCGCGTACGTCGCGTGGCGTCGTACACGACGTGGACTTCCTCCATTGGGTACAGGATGGCGACAGGTGCATACGTTGACCTTGTCTGTCTGCCATTCGATTTCAATGTATTCATGGAGTGCAAGCGTAAAAGGCATTTGGTGTGCAACAGTATTGATTGGTTCACCTAGCCCTGCACGTCGAGGACGAGGACAATGGTGCAGTTGGGCCTCGTTTCGA